CCTTTTTTTACTCCCTAATATCGGTATCGGTATCGGCCCCAAAAAACCCCATATCGGTCGGGCTCTAGTAAAGAGTATTATTCTTTAAAAAAGTAATTAAAGTGATAATATCGCAAAATTATAAATGTACAAATTGTTTTTATTTCCTTTTGGCCAAATAAAGAGTATTATTCTTTAAAAAAGTAATTAAAGTGATAATATCGAAAAATTATAAATGTACAAATTGTTTTTATTTCCTTTTGGCCAAATTTGATTTCATATTTCTTTCTTTTATTTTTTAAAATGTATTTATTTTTTTAACCAGACATGTTCTTGACCTGTTTTATGATATTCACCCATGTGCTATAAAAAAAACTGCATGTACAATTTATTTTTAACCTGTTTCCATTCCAAATCATAAGATGTTCCACGCTCACGGTTCTCCTGCAGTGCTGTACTATGAACTTTATCTTGGCGTGTTTCTTGGAAACAATCTGTCATTTTTCTGTTTAACCCTCTGATGCTCATCCTCATGTTGAAGGTGAGGCTAGTGCGCTCCAACCCTCCAAGTCCACAGTTCAAAGCTTCATTTGACGCCTCGTACCAAGTGTACAAACTCTACCAGATGGCCATTCACAAGGACCCTCCTGACAGACCTACCGAGAGCCAGGTCAGGGGATCCAGAGCTGAAGGGCTTTCTCTTAGCTGTTGAGCACATTTGACATGGCCACACTTCTACTTTGGTCTTCAAACCAAATAATATTTTGAGGATTTTGACTTGTGATGCATGGAAATGTACCGAGCATTAGGTAGAAATGAAAGCATGTTCAACTGGAAGCAAAGAATCACAGTGCAGTGACTTTAATGAGCAGTGTTTTAAAACCGCAGTGAGGAGGAGGAAGCCTAAAGCAAGCAGACATGAAATGAGGAAAGACTGAAGCAGTAAGAAATGAAAAAATGGAGGTAAGCCATGGAAACTCCATGAAACAGTATGAATCTAATCGTGGAAAGAGAAATTGAAAGGAAATTAGGAAAACGCTCTCATCCGCACTGTTTCTACAGGTGTCTGTGTTAAACGTGGAGTTTGTTGCTGTTGAGATGTTTAGGTTCTTTAGCTGGTGTTTTCCTTCCACTTTCCTCTTCTCAAGCCAAACTAGGAAATGGAAATTTCAGTCAAACATCATCTTGTAGGTAGTGCACCTTCACTGGATGTTGATTATGATACGCTCCTGTAATTTTCATGCAGCCTCAGTTTTTTTAAACA